GTAATAAGGCCACGCGTGTTAACGGTGTGCAAAACCAATAACAATAGTGATTAATCATGAGAAATAGATAATAATAATATGTGTAATAAATAATAATCTGTGTTTGTATAATAGGGATATTGTAATATTATGTATAATGGCTTGTGCGCTTTTAACGTGTCTGTGTATTCGTTGGCACAACTTTGCGTGGGTTTTTGCGTTATTTACCAAAGTTTAGGACGAACAACGCTACGTCCTGTTATAATATTGATACGCCGTTTTCTGAGGGTCGAAAGTTGCGAAAATTAATTATTAACGTTTTGGAAATTTTACACAGTTTTATGTCACATAATCTGAGCATATTATGATATACTATTATTATATTTATATGCGGGCTACTACGCACTTTCTTTGCCTCGCAGACCCGAAAAAAAATGTTGTAACCTATAGGTATAAAAAATACCGATTTGTATAATTATTATTATTAATTACGGCCGCTGCTTTCACGGCCGCTACAATATCTTTCTAGTAACTTTTTTGCGATCGATCGATCGAGTTTTACAACGTACCACTAACGATATCTACGCTTAAAAAAATATAAAAATATTTCAATATAACACCTATACATGTTTCTGTTACTTATCGAAAACGCCTATAACGTCAAACACCTCAACTAACTCAACTAAATCCACGGTGCAGGTATTTCAACGACTTTCATTTCCAATTCACTTTTGACATTTTCTCTTTTCTCTTAAAGCATTAATTCGTGAGTATCTAATCCTGATACATCCTTTTTTTCTTTCAAATGAGACCTTTCATTTTGTACAGTAAATCTTTTATCACACAGGTGATTTTCATTTTTTGATAAATTTGGTAAAAAATAATTCAAGGTAATATACAATCTATATTCAGGCAAATCGTAGTTTATGAGTTGTTACGACGTACCTATTTACAGTCTGATAACAATAATTGATTGAGATGGAGATTTTAATTTTCTTAAAAATCATCCGCTGGCCTATTATGTTTTACGGCAACAAAAGGACCCTCTAGTTTGAAAAAAAAAATAATAGTAGCTAGTAATAGTGCAAAAAAATATATTGCGGTCTCTAATTTAGTGAAATTCGAAAATTCGAAAATCAAAATTTGATTAGATCCATAGTTAAAATGATTGCGTCCTTCGGCAGTGCACCAACGGTGCGGTGTGGTACACTTACGTGCCTAGTAATGGCAGTGAGACTGGCGGTATATGTATATATATTAATCGCCGAAACGTTGTACAGTTTAAAAATTATTTCACTCACCCGAAGTTTTAAAAAAAAAAAGATTATGACAATAATGTAAGTTTTCGGTGGCCGCATCACGAGCTTACGGAGAAATATATAATATAATGATATAATAATATATTATTATTATGCGCGTATGTGTAACACCGTGGCCGACGCCGCATAAATAATGTCTTAAGCTAATGAGCCGTATAATGCGAGTGCGGGAAAACGTATACATGAAAATTGTGGCTGAAAACGGAGATAAAAGAAATTCCGTTTGGATTTGCGCCAAGTTATGACGGTATAGCCCGCCGCCGGTACGCGTAACTTGGCATAAATACGCGGGTTATGGTACCTATTATATATTATATACACATATATAGGGTTGCGAAAAAAAGTTGCATATGGTCTTTATGGATATTATTTTAATATATAAAAATAAAAAACACTATCACCACATGCGATACCGTAATTGGATGTATAATAAAATACGCGTGCATATAACGATACGAAAAAATTAAAAGTATTTATTTTTTTTTTTTAAATCCAAAAAGTTACCTAGTTCTAAAGTTTTACCGTTATCGTAAATAATATTTTTTCGCATTTAATAATAATATTTATGCATTAATGGCGGTGTTATAAATTACATTTTTTGTGTGTGATGAAGCAATTTCGTAACGTGTTTCGAGAAAATTATTGCGCGCAGGACCACTGTAAGAAGTTTAAACATTAACGTAAACGATTTACAAAAAACCATTTCGGTGGAAGAGATCTTAACCGTTTTCTTGTTGTAAACATTGGGTATAATAATACAGATAAGAGTTTCCCGTACGGTCGAAAACTAAATAATTGGACTTACTTTTATTTTTCAGGTCGTAGACCTCAATAATTGTAGTGGTCAATGTGGAACAGGAATCGTAAGTGTTCCTAATACCTATTGTTGTAGGTAAACGTTGTTATGAGCATATTATATATTTTTGAGAGTTTAACAATTGTTCAGAGAACGGACAGTTATTTTGGAAAACAAGTATGTGCTAGGGGATCAAAACCGTTAACAGGAAAAGAAATTATTTGGGGTGGTATCGCACAGTTTCCGCGTAGCTTTTAGTTTTGCTTTTCTTATACAATTACTCCGGGAACCATCGCGAGCGAGGACCGTTAATTAGAATAAACTAGTCTTATGCATTTGTATCAAATTACGTACGCTAAATAAATTATGTAGGCAGTGTGTTTTATAGTATACCGACACAACGCATTCACGCAACACACCCCTATACAATACACCTACACAACTGAACTCCTTTCACCGATAAACGTGTACAAGTAGTTAAAACATAATACAACGCGTGTCATTGAAAACAAGCAAACCAAAATCCAAATCACATAGGTAATAATGACTACCGATCTCCCGGTGTTATCCATCCGATAGTCGTGGTATATTTTGTTTTCAGTTAATATTAAACTTAAACTTTCGCATAAAGTATGTTTTCCAGATGACGGAAACACACACACAGGCTAATATTAAAATAATACACTATTGTATGAGACCAAGTATTAATCGATATAAAAATGGCAGTTTATCATAATATTATGTTCGATGACGATGGCATAGTAACGTATTTGTTTTTGAACCCTAATATTTTCAACCTGAGTTGATTAATTTCTAATTTTTAGGTGCTGTAGTATAATATAGACATAATTCTTGTAAAGACGGTCGACGACCAGTGCGTGTTTTGACTATAAAATCAGCTTTATTAATTTTCCAATGATATAATATCTGATAATTTTCGTCAACCTCATTTAACGTTCATTATTCATCGCTTCCGTCGATAACGTAATATTTGGGGGGATATAATAATTAATATTATGTCCTCGGGTTAGATCTAAACGATGCGCACAACGAGGCGTGAAATGATTAATAAATATCAGTTTAATTACTTTGAAAAAATGATCTACAGCAACATAGATAAATAGTATGACTATGTAATATGTCGTGCAGTATAATATCATCAGTAAAAATAGTTGATAATTCACAATTAAAATTTCCTATAATTTCACATTTGTCTAGGAGGTGTCAGTCACCTCATTGTAACCAATAATGGTCACCCTTGTTTTGATTTAATTTGAAACATTAAGGAATTTTTTTTAAAAATGATTTTGCGACATACGTCTATGTGTTATAATATGATTTTAAAAATGTCTGTTTCACTGACTGAATTATGAAACCGTAAGTGTTTTTAGTCATTATTTTAAGTTATTTTAGAACGATCCCACCAGCTAGGTCAGATACCAGATACTAGGCCTCAAAGGAGACTATAAGGTCCCGCTGCGCTTTAATTTATTTATTTTATACAACGTCTTAAAAGCACTTGTCACGTGCTGAAAAAGTCTCGATTGCCCTGTCGTGTGATTCTTAGAAGTTAGTTATTGAATTATTCTTCTGCTTAATATTTTACACGGCTGGTGCTTAATTATTGGACACAATTTAATTATTATTGTTCAACCGTGAAAAACAAAAAAAAAAAAAACAGGTGACATGGTTATGTGCAAAAGAAAAACGCACACATTATATTATTCGAGAGTTTTACTATAAACTCAAACGCTCGAAACATCTCGTCGCCGAGTACCGAGTAAAATAAGTTACGTTATTATTACTTGTAATCATTCATACGAAAGTCGAGTGAGGTAACAATATTTTTAACGATCGATCATGATTCACGACCGCCGCTTGTTGTTGTAATCGTTTGTAAATTATTATTACACTCGACGGGTCTTATTGGGATTCTGTTTTATTTTTTTCCCTCCCAAAGTTATGTAAACAAAATTTCCCGCGACCGCCAAGATACCTCTCCGACCCTCGACTACTACACTATTGCTTCCGTTGTTACGACTATATATTTTAATATTATACCGTTACTGTACACGTTGAATTAAAATGCAAAATAAACCTCGTAGTATTTTCCGGGAAATACTATGCACAATATTTTCAAGGTCGGATGCTATCGCGAGCAGACGATGTATATTATTATTGTTATTACAACTCGAATACCGACGACAACGTCGTTGACGGCACAGCGGGGATGAATGAAATAATTTTCGATATTATATTTCAATCAAACGTAATTTAATGATGATACAGGTATAATAATAAACCAACAAAATATCACGTGGCCTTCTATGTGGGTGGTGGTTGGCACGATAAATTAAACCAAACAGTATTTTTTTATGTGCGTCGTGAGTGCGGTTGCGGGAAAACAAATTATATCTCACAACGGGGATGACGAGAATAAGAAGAAATTAAAAAATGGTCGATCGGAAACAACCGATTTCGCGCGTGAAAACAATCTCTTGACGAAAAAGAATTTTTGGCTTACGCGCGCCCGTCAGGGTGAACGTACCCCGCGCGAAACGAGAGTATGTGCAATAATACACCGACAGTGGAAACGGAGGCGGCGGCGGCGGCGGCGGCGGCGAGGGGACGAGGGAAACGACCCTATCCCTTCGCCCGTCGACGAACGTCCGACAGGGGTTGAACGCGATCGATACTACTCTCCCCGTACCACCTCCGACTCCATCCCCACCATACCGATCACTACCACCTCCACCGCCGCCGCCACCACCGCCGTTGACTATACGCCGCCACCCTCGTCACCCAACCCCCTACCGTTGTCATCCACCCCCCGACCGCCGCGGTCGAGGGTGGGAGGGATGGCGCGGTAACAGGTGTCGGCATCGCGGGCGCGAGGCAGCGGCGGCGGACGGCGCGTGATACGTACGGCGGTGGTGCGCCGCGCATCGATCCCGCGGGCACGCGCACGCGCCGCCCGACGACATTAGCCGACCGCCACCACCACCGGCGGCGCGCAACGACGACGGCGACGACCACGACGCCGCGTCCCTACGCCGGAGCGTCGGTACCGAGCGACTCCCGGCGTCCGCTCAACAAGTGTCTTCTGTATTGTTGTGCCCGCTAAACCGAACACAACGACCGTTGCTCGGCGCCGATCGCGGGTGCGCTCTCTTTTTTTTCATTTCCATTTACCTCTTTTTCTCTCGTCGTTTCCTCCCCTCCCCCCGTCCTCTCCGCCGTTCCCGTCGCGTTTCGCTCGCCTCTCCTCTCACCCGGTTCCCGTCCATCCACGCGCCATCTCGCTCGTTCGCCAACCAACTGTCTGTCCCCGTCTACACATCGCTGTCACTCGCAACTCGTTCTGTCCGCCGCGTCTGTCCCGCACCTACCCCGTTCCTGAATCGGCGGCCCGGAAGGAGACGACATCTCGAGCAATAAGTGGAAACCGTCGGACCAGTTACGATCGCGGCTTGGGCGTGTGACTACGCTCAGACGGCGGCGGCGGCGGCGGCGGCAGCGGCGGCGGCGACGATCACGACCACGACTACGACGACTTTGGACGACGCAGGTAAAAGGGCGCGCCGTTATGCGGTGGCGGCGGTGGCGGAATATTTTGTGGTAGCACTGGTGGTGGAGGTTAAGTTGGCCGTGTAGGTGGTGTAGGCGATACGGTACGGCAGGCGGCGGTGGGTGGTAGCGCATTGCGGCGCGCACCCACAAACAAGTGGTCGTCACGCCGACGCCGCCGCCGCCGCCGTAGCGAGTAGGTACGCGAGCGATACGCACACGATTTCGTATACGCACGAGAAATATCGCACACGCACCCGTACGAGTTACGCGGGTGCGCGCGCGCGCGACACGCACACGCGAGCACACCCACGCGCGCGCTTCGTCGGCCGGTAGCATTGATTTTGACGCGCGCACGCACCCGCACACGCGGGCCATGACTACACGAGTCTCGTCTGCCGCGTGTGCACCTTCCGTATACAAATCTGACGAATCGTTGTTGTGGTTGTCATTATTTATGTTTTTGTAATTTATTATTGTTGTTGTTGTTGTTGTTGTTACGAGTACCGCGGTATAATGATAATATTATTGTGTACAGGTTTACCTAAAAAATAATATTACGTTATATTTTTATTATTTCTCTCTTGTCATGAATCTCGACACCGCGATGGCATACCGGCCGTGTTACCGCGGTCGGACGTGACGGCAAGTCGAGTCATTCTGCTTACAACACATTATTATAATTATATACCTACGACGTTTAATCGTCGGACGAATGTAGATATATGTACGAATGTCCGTTTTCAGTGCGTTTCCGCAACCCCACGAGGGCGGCACCGGAAGTCCTATCGCGCGCATATAATATAAGTGTACGCTCACCCTTAACGCGCTTTCACCCCACCTACCACTACCCCACACGACAATACGACGATCGCCACCACCACCACTACCAACACTACCTACTCTGCAACCACCACACGATCCCTCGTCCCGGCGATGACGCATATAATATTAGCGTCGCACCCAGGTACGTCACGACGACGACGAGGCGAATGTTATCATATCGTAAACCATTAAATTATATATCATTATCATAATTATTTCAACATATTTTGTTATTAAATATTGTATTGTGTATAGTATATTATATTATGTGTGAGTATGTGTGTGTCGTGTGTGTGTGCGTTTTTTTGTGTTTGTGTTTGTGTGCGTGTGTATAAATACTTTAAGAACCACGTGAAGTACCGTATACAAGAAGTATGGTTACAATACTTTTATTATATTATTACTTATTTAATAGGTAGGTAGGTGATTTAATAATGAAATATAAAATGAGTGATTATTATCGTCGAACGTGCACATGGGCAGACTAGGGATTTGATTCCTCAATGAACAGATTTACCACTATCGACTGTAATATCGACGTTGACGGGAATAAACCTATTCTGTACAAAAATTGTAGTTTTCAGTAAACCCAAAAAAAACGTTTTAAATAAAATAAATCACGTGGCAGCTATTTTATAAACGATTTGTGTTTGGTAAGTTGGTAACACGTTGAAACATTTTTCTACGATGGAAATAGCACATAAGAGGTACCAATTTCATGAACGATTGTTGGTAACACGCACAGGAGAAATCGTTTATTATTTTTCATAAATACCAAGATGCAGAAACCACATAAGAGATATTTTGATCCATAAAAAATTTTTTTTCCCGAATTCAGCAGGTGCACTGAAACCTCAAAATCGTGAATATTGTACTTACGAGGTTTATTCCCGTCAACGACAATACTATATTGTTGGGTTATACTTAATATGAACAAATGGTGGTAAAAATATAACATAATATATACCGACTTTTTAACCTTAGTGGGCTGATTTACATACCGGTAAAGGTGGCACGCTATGCGCCCCCTACAATAAGTCCATCTATGTGTCATGTGCTTTGTCATGATGAAGAAATCAGTTCGTTTTTTAAATAATTCCAAACCGGCAAGTTGTGCATGGCAAATGTTTCATCGTTCAAAAATTTGCAACTCATAATCATACGACCTCTAATATACATTTTTTAGTATAAAAACAAAATATTTGTTCGATGTTCGATGGTTTACGATGGTTTCGATGGTAAACCAAAAAAATGGTAAAAAATGTAATTTTTCTTGCATAAATAAAAATAAAAAGCATTTTAAATGTTTTCAAAACACAAACACCGATTTGACAAATGATTGTAATTTTGATCGTCCTGTGCGTTTTATTCTGTGATATAATATTATATTTTTTTATCCAGGCAAGAGTGGAACGCTAAAATGTCGTACAGTCGGAAACGAGCAGTAGAATATTGTCCGGCGACGACTTTTTTTTGCCCTTTTGCCACCGAAACGCATTTCTGGGATTTTCAGCATTTTTTTCTATATCAAGCCCGTTTTCACCAGCAACGTGACTTTTCGAGGTCAACCACCGCCGCCACACCAATCTTAGGTTTTTTCTTACACCACAGCTATATAGCTTTAGCTGAACAACGGCGACGGCTGTATTTGATTAAATTCGCGGACATACTCGCCTGCACAAATTTGTTTTGACATTTTTCCGGTCTCAAAGATATTACGATATTTATACATATTTTTTTATCGTCTGCACGATGTGTTTTAATAACAAATAACTACACGCAATACGTCCACAGAATTCGTTGTCTTGACTTGTTATTTTAATTTATGATAGTATTACAATACAGACTTAAATCAATTGATGGAACCTGTTGGTTTTCTGCACTTCAGTTCTAGGATTTATATCGACAGGCAATCGATGGGATCAAGGCTTGAGGAAAAAAATATCAGAAATTCGACAAAACATTTTTTTTTTGTCTGTAGACTTGTTTGAGTGTTTTCGCTTTAAACGTTTTTTTGTTGCGTATGTTATTTGTATGATATTATTATTCGTTGAGGACTTCAAACGCCTCAACGTGGATAAATAACTTACTGATTTTCGACGACTTCAGAACCATTCAAGCAGACCTAAATCTTATATAGTACAATAATGTTTCATGTCAACAATAATGTTCAATCGGGAAATACCTAAGAAAACACTTAACGATCTTGATTTTAGATTTTGAGCAAAGTTAAAGATCTAGTTGTTTGGCAGTGTCGTTCATTTTTTTAATTTTTTGCAAACAACTTTTTGACCGCTTCAAAATCCACTCGGCACAGGTGCATATAATATTATCTATCAAGTGAAAAAGATTATAAACCTATTTGGTACTTTTGAGTGATCATTTGACTTGTGACTTACAAATACTAACTTTTTAACGATTTTGGATCCTTTCAAACCGACTCGAGTCTTATACCTGTACTATAATAATATTTCATGTCAATTTTAAAACGAACTCTTGTTGCTATAGTTTTTAACCGCGAAACACCAAAGAAAACACTAAAAGTTATTTTTGATTTTAGACTCTGAGCAAAACGAGATACCTATTGGTTTTACAATGTAGTTTATTTATTTATTTTCTGTGAACAACTTTTCGGTCACATCAAAATCCAATTGGTACTGGTGCACATATCACCTACCAAGTGGAAAATATTTTATCCCTAATTGGCACTTTTGAGTGACTATTTTTTGATTTTCGATTGTTGTGGAAAGAGAAACTTACAAATACTAGGTTTTTGACGATTTCGGAACCGTTCAAACAGACTCCAGTCTTATAATTATAGTATAATAATATTTCATGTCAAGCTGCCAAACTCACGTTATTAATGTTTAACCGGGAAATACGCTTCATTAGTAATTGGTACTTTTGAGAAGTATTTTTTTTGTTTTTCGATTAATGTGTAAAGAAAAACTATAAAAAATGAGATTGTAAAAACACGATTTTGTGCAAATCGAATTGTGTAATTTCATATCTATACTAATAAAATATTTATGATTCTGAAATTCTGAAATGTACACCGAATGCATAGTTTAGTACTGTTTTTAGTATAATAACAGTGGTGACATTTTCGATCTCCTATTATTATGTTCAAATGTGTGTCCATAAGTGCTGAAGTTAATATTACTAATATTACAGCAATATGTTGAATGTATTACCTACTCAAACTATACCTACATCAGATAAATTTCACTGGTTATTAGATTTTACAGCATCGACAGAAAATACTAACAATTTCGGTCAAATTTAAGACGATGTGTTTTTTAAACAGTAAAAAATAATGTAACGATTTATTTGATAATAATAATATTAAATTAATTCTATTAATAACACTATATTGCTTGGTTTGCGAGATCCGAGATTTAGCCTTTAGGTATACCGTTAGAATGCTGTCAAAATAACTTTATAATAAACTAATGAAAGCGTACAGAGTACGCTGATAAAATCGTCAAATATCGAATTTTCATGACCAATGACGTGATTAGACTTAACTGCATGGTGTACTTAGGATTTAGGACCATAACCATATTATCGGTGAATGATCAATGTGAAGTTTGAATTTTGCGCTTATTTCCATGTGATATTTCTGATCTTGTCAAGTGTTGCCAAAACTTTCACCCGGTCGGTTGGTACAGTATATTCGAAGTATACTATTTTCCAGCCAACCACGTGGTTAATATTTGTGTTATCGTCGCCCACGTGTTTTCACTAAAAATTCCAAATTTTTCTTTTTCAAAAATAAGTTTTTCAAGTCTATATAAATTTACTTTAGATCTAATTCTAATCGAAGCGATAGATGTATTGATCTTACAATCATGCGTGTCTTATATTTTTCTGTCCGAAGACACTGCTTCTAGTCGAAAAGAAAATACAACGATCGCATCAACCTCGGGGGAAGTTTTTGGCAGCAAACTGGATCTCGCCGGTAGTTTGGTAGTTCGAAAGAAGAAATTTCTCAGTATTTTTTTTAATAAATCGGGGGGGGGGGGATTCAATAAGAATATTGATTTAAAATAGTGTTCAGTATGTCTTCGGACGTACGTGAAGCAATGAACGAGATGCAAACAACTAGACGGTCTGAGATAATAATAACAATATATAGGTGTACCCGAACAATAAAATGCAATAATATAATATAGTCGTACGCAATCGGTACCAGCGACGTTCAATAACACCCCGCAGCCGATTCTGGAGGTAGCTGCGATAGAGGTGGTTCGGCTAGGTTGGGGAATATATTATTATTATTATTATTATTATTATTATTATTATTATTATTATCGAGAATTTCGCTGAAACGCGCGTTCGATTCGACTGTACGCATATATACATTATACACGTCCACAGTCACCGGACCCTCCCCACCAAAAAAACGTTTCCTGTGAAAGGGTCGTTCGCACAGGGGTCGCAACAATATAATATATAATGCGTCGCGTGAATCTGCGCTGTCGACGAACGGCCAGACCGAAATGAAAATATATACTTGAATATATAATATCATTTTAAACGCGAATTAATTCTATCGAGCAGTGCTTTTATTTTTTCTCGAAACGACTGACGAAATAAATTTACCGGACTAGAGTATTATGCGTTATATTCGGGATTAAAATTAGATTTTAAATATTAAAAAAAAAAATAATAATATTTATACTAGTTCTGCAGTAAGGCGCTATTGATTCAATTTAAATTTTAAATATTTTCAAAACAAAAATTATTCTCGATTTAAATTTTGTTTTTTTCTAGTGTTAATACACATACACACAGACGGAAACGCTAGTGCGCAGATACGATTGTTATTACATCAAATCACGATTTACAAATGGTGAGCGAAAAAAAGTTGTTTTTGTTAATATTGGTAATTTGTAAGCGTCTTTTAAATAGATTAAACAGTATAATATCCGGCTATGACAGTTTTTTGTTAAATTAAGCATTTGTTAAACAATTTAAATTTATAGTATTTATGATTTATAAATTTGAAAGCAACATATTTACTCAAATGCAAATTAACTTACAGGTGGCCCTTAATTAACTTACAAGTGTTAGATGTTGCGAAAATATAAAGACATTTTATAATGATAAAGTCAACTGTTTCTGGTGTGAATTTAATGCTAAATAATAAACTTATTTTATAACTAACGAAAAAACATTGTTCAAAGTGTCTTATTTCCGTTAAATCGTGTGCCGTTTAATTTTCTGAATCTCAAAATGTTTAACAATATTGTTTTTCAAAATTAAATGATATCCCCCCCTGGAATAAATTTGTAAGATAATATCGTAATATTACTACGCACCTTCCCGAAACGTTCGCATATTCTGTTAATATGTATATTTTTTTTGGAAACTCGTATACAATTTACCATTAGAGACATGGTACTATGTATTTATATTATATTTTTAATTAAACAGGTTCAACAGTGCGTAAAATATAATATTTTTTTCATACATTTTGTCAAGTACGAGACATTGATTCTTTGATTTCAAAAATGAATTTTTTTCAAATAAAACCTTTTGTATTCGACACGGACAATGTAACTTTATGATCTCGCCCTTTCATGCCATTGGAGCCAATCTGCTCAGGGCTGATAAAATTCGTCGAAATAATTTTATTTACAATCGTGTGGGCGTTTTTTTTTTTTTTTTGGACGTATCTGTTCTCTCTACTTTATCGTATAATAATTCGCCGCCATTTCGTTTTTAGATCCACGCGGAGCAGATCACGTTATTTATACATAATACATTACGTCGGAGACTTAGACGTCACCAGGCCGAATGAAATATTCATGCGAACTCGTGTTTCGCAGTATACCGTCGGTACACGAAATAACATATTATTATTGAAATGTCCCGTTACAAGGCGGTATACACCCATCGCTAGGGCACTTGCCCGGTGCACTGCAGCGAGGGACGAAATTTAAAACAAAGTCGGCGGCGATTTCGCATGCCACGTGTATATAATAGTATTACTGGCGCACTTTCCTTTTCCAGAAGTTTCCCGGAAAATTCGTCGGTTTCGGAGAAAACGGGTCGCACGCCGCCGACTGTATACCTACCCCTATTTTATAATATTATTAAAGCGTTTCGTTGTTTATTCAAATTTATGAAATATTACTATTACTGCTCCCTAGTACAGTAGTACCCACGACCCGCCGTCGCTGCTAAAAAATAAATACCAACAGTTCTGTATAATACTCGTTTGTTCCTGGCATTGTTTTCCACGTAGGTAGATTTTTCGTCGAATAATATACCTTTAACTTTCGTACGTTTCCGGAACATTTGACTTGTCACACACGTTTTGCACAGTTTAATTAAATAATAATATAACGACGTTTGTAACGTGTATCGAAACAGAAAAGCGAGTGACATTGTAATTATTATATATTATGTTAAAAGCCGTTTTGAAGTCGTTCCACGGCGTGTATAGACAATCAGTGGTCGAAAATTGTTAAGATAACGTGTTAGGACACGTCGGTCTTTTTTTTTACTGCTAGATTTGGATAAATCTCGGTTTAATGTGTTTTCCGCTATGGCTCCTAATTACAGTTTTTATTAGTTAGTTGACCGTGGTATAGAGTTAATATAATTCCAAGTGGATATTATGTTTTATGTAGCCGTGGATTTTAGTACTACCTATTTCAAGAGTTTGTTACCAATAAAAACCCACGTTTGGTATATTATTATTTAGTTATTTTTTATTTTATTATTATTAGCTACCAGTAAAAACTATGATAGCTATCAACATTTGTTACAAAGCATAGCAATGCAAAGTCGAGAAAAACTAAGGACTGGCAAAGGGCATTGTTGTCTATAAAAAATATTTATATAGTGATTCTAAGACATTTAGAATGGAGGAAAGAAAAGCCATTCTCTGATGACTAATTTATTAATTTAAAAATATGATAAAATATAAAAATATATATAATATATTCTGAAAGGGTTTTTTTTATATTTTGTTTTGCATATTGTTGTGTTGATTCAATCTTGGATTCAGTATACTAATAAATTGAATGGACCTGAAAAGTTTTTATGTTCATCAATACTATTCAGCTTAGATATTTTTAGAGTTTTAGAAATTTTTAGAGCTAATTTGTACTGTTATTGGATGCTACTAATATATTTTATTACTGGTGTTTAGTTTGGGTTTGCTTTTTAAAAATATCGTTTTCGTAAAAACTTATAATTTTATTAAGACTCAAAATGTTTAATATTACCATAACGTTTTGACGCGTTATATAAAAGTTTCATATTTCTGTTTTTGATTTTTTTTTTTTAAATTGATCCATCAATTGTTTATGATATTGTGGGCTTTTCGTATAATATCAATTATAGAGTACCTACATTTTCCGTTAATATCGATGTTTTATTTAAAAAACAGTTAACGTTTAGCCTTCATTGTTCTTGACATTGCCCTATAATTTCCTTTGGATTACAAATATGGTAAAATTAAGAATTTTTATCAAAATACCGACGAAAAATTAAATAATTTCTTTGGTTTTAAAATATTAAGTGGCATACACGTATACTTACTATTCTTCTTTAAGTGTATTTTTTTTAAACGTCAGGCCGTAAAATTAATTAAGTCCGAGAAAGCATTATAATGGTATGGTTAATATATAAGATAGTTGACGAATCTTATAATAATTGTTTTGTCCAGCCTTTGCGCTTTTAAACTGTGTTTCAAAGACATTGTATACGAATCCGATTATCGATGCTTTATTTAGCATCTATTAATACTTTTCTTTATGTCTCAATTTCATTTTTAAGATCGCTTTAATATCTCAAACCTTGGGCCGTTGGATTATCAACCAATGTGTTATTTATTTTATATTATACGAATGCGCATTGCATATTATACCTTCGGTTGTTCGAAAGCATTTTCACGATGCGAAACCTGTAGGTGTATTATTATATTTTTAATGGGTCGGTGACCGACGGCAAACTAAATAATTAAAGGTTAAATGCCGAAAATATTCGACGTTACAGGTATTTACATATTAATTTATATATTATTTAGGTAACAAAAAAAAAAAAATAATAATAATAATAACAGTCACTCGCTAAAACTATACGATAACACGCGCGGTTTACCGATTATTGCACACATCACGAACGTTCTCGTCGGCGGGGCTGATTAAAAATTATTCGTTTTTAACATGACGAAGACGATAAAAAAAAAAATAAATTGTCGGCGCGACGGCGTCAGCTCGGGTAGTGCGTACTAGTGTGTAATAATGTTATTAATACAATAACCTTCCGTGCAATCGCGATGGACGGCGGCGGCGGCGGCGGAGTCTGCCACATAACAATAATTATTATAATAACGACAATAATAATAGGTAATATGATTTAGGTGCGCGTTTGAGCAACGAGCGTCAATAATAATTAACATAATATATTGTAATATTCACATTGCATTATTATTGACCAGTCCAACCGTCAGCTGGGCCGTGATGGGCATTAAGTCCAAATTTGAATATACAGAGTGGGTCGACTGCTTTCGCGACGAATTATACATTTAACACGTTGACACTCCATAGCACCCTGTAGACACGACGGCGCTTGATGTTTGTTAAGCTATAGGTGTTGACAATGAAAAAGTTATAATATGGGTATTGTAAACTGAATTATCGTTACCGTTAACCCGGTATCGTGGTTATAAAATCATAAAAGGCAGAGCTACGCTTAAATTATCGAAAAACAAAACGAGTTGGAAAAACACACGTCACAGCTACAGGTCCTCCACGTGTACGATAGAAATATGTAGCACCGAGATAATAATATTAATCCACGATTCGTCAGCCCGAAATTAAACTTTTTTCTTCGTGGAATCGCCTGAAATCGCGTCCGCTTGTAAAACTTTCGACACGAATTATATTATAATATATCTAGCGTTAGGTCCATATATTATATGTGATATTTATGTGAAAAAAAATAAAACTGTACGACGTGCGTGCGTTTTGTTTTATGGGGGTGCGAACAACGTCGAAAACTAAAAACAAGCGATACCCCAACCCTCTCGTCCCAAAAAAAAAAAAAAATAAGCAACTTTTGGCGGGCCTCGAATATAAACTTTGGTTTCAGCTAAAATATTGCACTTGTTTTCATCACTTCGATAACTTGTCGAATTTTCGCAAAATGTTTAAATCGAGTACCAAACTGATAATATTATAACTTATAAGCAACGCGATAGTAGATTTTCAACTTTTTGTCGAATAAATTATCAAAACAATAATATTTTATTGTTTGAAAACATTATAACTCGAAACGAAAGAGGAAACGGAAATCCATTTTCATTCATTCGTGCCCAAATAATAACGCTCGCGTGGACTCCGTTTGAAAATGAACTCGAAGAGACGTATTCGTTGAGCGTACGAGTATTTATCAACGCTGTCGGTGCACTTGTATAACATATTACTATAATGCGTGTAATTTAAGTGTTGTGACTTATGAACTTTATAAAAATGTATAACGATTCACTAGAATTATACTTCAATATAATATATATGCGTAAATATGATGATATGATAAGGTCGTGGTAGCAACACAAGAGTAACCAGAAGGAAGACGTGTCCTTAATGAGAACTCGAAAATCGGTGAAAAATGATCGGTATATTTTCAGTGCAGCCAAAATTCCGCCATAATATTGGACGTTTTATTTTGCTGCTTAAACTTTTATTCAAGCAATGAGTGTATGGAAAGTGTAATGAAATAGAGACTATTTTTTGCTTACTCGTTCACTAAATATGTATGGTAGT